GTTGAGTTTATGCTCTTAAAGATTCTTTTATATCCTACGAGAGTGGAGTATAATGAGATACTCTAAAAAAGAAATCTCCTATATTAAGTATGAAGTGGGTCGCTTCTATGAGAATGACAAAAGGGTTAGTTCTCTAGAGTACTTGATTAAAGCTATCAGGTGTTGTCTCAGGGCCATAATGGACACAACAAATTAACTAATGAGAGAGAGGGAGGTGTTGCGTGAGTACTGTTGTCTAGGTGTACGCAAAAGCTGAACAGTTCAAGACATCACGTTTATTGTCTAGCAAGTACATCCGATAGTATTTCACTACGGAAGATTCAAAGGTAAAACTACCTTTCCGAACATAGTACACTCTCAATGAGCGAGCTTTGCATTGCATATAATCTGCATACAGTGCATTAGTTGTATGTGATTCATTTAGGTTTCACCTAACGCAAGACCCTATTTTGATTCTTGTGGGGGGGATTGTTGGATTTGGGTTTATTTGATAGAATCAAAATGGGCCTAGCCCGTGAAGAGTCTGGTCCATGGAAGGATCTGTAAACCTTGATGGAAAAGCTGCAGATTAATGAGAGAATATTCTTGATTAATTGCAAAATCAAATCGTAATAAAATCTGCAGAAAATCCATTGATTATGGTAAGTATCAATCAGAATAATATCAAATTGGAATCTGATTGATTCTACACATTAATGTGAGATGCTCCCTCCACTAGTATAAATAGAGGTCTTGGTTAGATCATTTGACATACAACAAGAAAACAAAGCATTCTTTAAGAGAAAAAGAGCATTCACATCTCTGCTCATATCTCTCTCTGAGTTCGCTTGGTATTCGGGAAAGCTTCTCTTGAATACGCGGTCGTTGTATTCTGGGAGTTCACCATGCTCCAATAACCTCGAAGCTTTAGAGATGGCACAGAAATCGAACTTAAAGAAACTGCGTTTCACAGACCTCGACAATAATCTTTTATTGTAGGTTCTTATCGGAATCATTCGAATTGTCGGAGTTTTGCCTCGTCAACAACCGCCGCCTCCAACACCTCCTTCACCACTATAGAGACGTGAAAACAAATACGTAGGCCCTCAAGCAAAGATAAAACTGGTATGAGTTGATATGGTTTCTGAGGCTGTACCTAGATATGCGCTTGTTGAATGGCATATTTTCCAGAACCGGTTATCGACTAAGGATCGACCTGTAGGATGGGGGTTACAATGCATATCGTTTACAACGCCAACATAGGTAGGGGAATCTCACCCCACCTATTTTTTGGCTGTCTGTACAGCGCCAACATATGGATTTGTTTTGGTAACCGGTTGTATTATTGGACCGAAACCCAGACTAATTACGGGATTGGGAACAAGCCATATGATTACAATTTGCACTCCCCTCGGGATAGGACATGCCAATATATGGACTTCCTTTGCGAGCAGATGTTTTCCTACTGCTCCGACTGAGTTGCACCAATGTCTCCATTGGATGCACTCGAGGACGAATATCGGGGCTCATGCCGAAGGTATCGTTGCAAAAATAATCCTCCAAGAGACGATCTATGAGAATTGATGGGAGAGAAACAAGCGAATATTCAGAGGAGCTTCTCGCACGGCGGAGGTTTTGCGTGGAACAATAGACCTCACCATCCGAAATATACTCTTCTCCTTTAAGGTTGTGGGTGACAACAAGTGACATGAATCAACTCTTGGCGCTCTGGTACAGACTTGTCATGGATGTGAATTAACTCTATGATATTAGTTGTCAATGTTTTCATCTTTTACCCACTTGTGTGTGGGAATCCATTTCTTTTGTAAATGATACACTCTCGTGTAAACACTTTTGAAGGTTGAGATAATATACGAATCATATTGTATAAAAAAAAGTTTAAATTTACTGCAGAATTTAAAAGTGTCTGTGTATTTTTTTTTTTTTTGAAATTTTAAAGTTTACAAATGTCTATCAAATTGTTTTTATATTAATATGGTTTTTTTTCGTATTAACATATAATTCAAATGGTAAAGTTGAATTATACGTCGCAGTGCGAAAAAACAAAGACCGTTGGTTTGGGTTAAGATTGGACTGCATGTTTTAAGGGCCAAAATGGCATAAGATTATAAGAATATATATATAATAAGTATTATTTAATTAGCAATTTGGAATTTTTTTTATAATATTAAATTGTTGAAATTGGACAGTTTATTCATTATGTCAAATTAAAAAATAAAGTATCGCGGCCATACATAAGTTTGTTCATTCTTATTGGATTGACAAGTTTTATTTTTTTTTAATACTAAGAGCAAATTAAATTTTGAAACGATAAAAGAAATGAGAAAAGTCTACTACAAAAGATTATCTCTTCCTTAAAGCGATTTTTTTTTATATATATCGAACCTATATTAACATATATTAACTATCTAAAAAACTCAGAATATCTGAAAGGGCAATATAAATGTTATAATTGTCGAATTACAAATATTTAGATGTAGGCGGATACCTAACTAAAAAAATTAGCTATCAAAACATGAACCCGCAAAATAAACCATTTTTATTTTCTAAATCCAATCCGCAACATAGACATATCCTAATTTTCGGTTGGATGTTGGATTTCCTAAGATCTCTAGAGCGAATCCTATTCCTAAGATATCGATTCTAGGGTTTGCGCAGCGGATGTAAAACAAAAATTATATAAAACCCTAGAACCATGCATGTATGAATCGTAGAAACGTTAGAACGCTTACCTCAATCGATCCGAGACCTGTATCAACTGAAGAATTTGTTCGATCACTTTAGGCAGGAAGATTATCTCGCCCTCTACACGTATCCACACCTCGGGATGGATTCCAATAATTGGAACTTGTATGCTAGGACCCGAATCTGTTATTCGGTTTTATGATTTGAGAAAACGAGACTTAGATCACTCTTCGAATCTCTTGGATCTCACAAAAAGTCTGTAAAAGTGTTCTAAAGTCGGCCCTCCTTCATTAGGGTTTAATCTTCTTCTTATAAAGTGATTTAACCCTCATTTCGGTTTAATTTTCGAAAATTCCGAAGGCCGAAACGGACGGTCCAGACTTACACGTGGACCGTCCGTTCCAGAACTGCAGAACAGACGGTCTGCGTAACGTGGACCGTCCGTTCCAGACCTTCTGGAACAGACGGACCATGTTCTGGACCGTCGGGTCTGGATTTGGCGGACCGTCGGGTCTGGCCCTTCTGGTCCGTCCGGTCTAGACCCTTCCGTCTTGGTTTTTTCGTCGTTTTCTCGTGCGTTTTGTCCTTCCCTTCGTGTGTGACCTTGTGGGCTCATTCGATATAGCAGTATAACCCGAAATCTCTATTTCAGATATACAAGTCATAGGTGGTCTCTAGCAAGACACTATGACTACCTATCTCGAATAGAGTTTGTTCGTGATCTTAGAATGCTAGTGATGATTCCGGCTGATGATCCTTTTGTATCGCAATATCATATGTCGAACATAAGGCATGGACAAGCCACCTTATCTGATTCAACTGTTTTCTCGTTCACTGAGTTGGACTGTCTGAAATAGACGACGTTCGTCTATAGTGCGGCCACACATTTCTACAGTCTCGCTCACACGAAGGGCCCAACGATATCTCTCTCTTTTACGAGAGGTACAAATCCCGTCTTAACTATCTACAATCCAGCACATGATTCGTTTTGTACCTGATACACGCCTTTATAGTCCTCCTGTTACGCAGGACGTTTGACGCATTCAAAACATGCAACTCCTCATATTGGATTCCGTAGATATCTCAAGTCTTAGGATCCAATGATGAAACTGTTATATGAGATTCAAGTCATGACACTAGTCCATGTTACAATCTCATGCGGGTCACTCTAGTATTTCGTTCTCCAACGAATACCTATGAATCCAATATCTATGATCATCTATATGATCATCAAACACACATCATACTAGTCTTAGTATATCATTATTCCCATAATGACATATGACTAGGGAGTTTAGTATTGTTCATAACAATACATGGATTTCATAACATATTAAAACATGCACAATACGTAATGAATCAAATACTCATCCATAAAACCATAGAAAGTGTCAATACATCAAATGTATTTAAATAAAGCTCACATAACAGTACATCATAGAGCACTAAACCAACAATGGATCCATAACAAAAGAAATCTTGATTTGGATTCTTTTAGTTAGAATTCCCAAATGCGTTGGATTCATCACTTTTTAAATATGACAAATAAATAGATAAACTTTTTATATTATACAAAAACACATAAATTTTAAAAATTTTCGTAAAACTTTGTAAAAATTTGTATAAAAATACACAAGTTTTGAAAATTTTCGTATAAAGTTACAAAAAAACCCAATTGAATTTAATGTTTTTATGGATTTTAGCGATAAATTTTAAATTTTATATATTTTTATACAAAAATTAGAAGTTTATATAGAAGTTGGGATTACCTTTCTGTGGATATCATGATCCTCTAATTAATATAAACATTGGAATCAACGTGACAACAATCGCATGCAATGACCATGCAATGACGACAACCATCAGCGCTCAAACCCTAATTTGGACGAGTAAACTCTCATGTCGTATCAGTGGGATATCATAAAATTTTCCTTGAATAGATTTGATTTGTTGTCATGTAAATCGTATTATGTGAACATAGTTTTGTTCCGAAATAGATCTAGAAATTTGACTTTTGCAACATTATTGCGAAACTGGTTGGTTCGTTTTGAACAGCATTATCATTGTCATGGAAAATATTACAAGATCTAAGTCAAGAATTCAGACATTTCCACGGCAGCATTTTCAAGTCATTAGGTCTTATTTTATTTATAAACCCGATAACATTTTCAATATATTGGTAATTTTATTCATATGTAAAACTTCATTGTCAAAGTTTTTAAACAAAAGGGTAAAAAACCAAATCTATATAAAGGGAGAAATGCAAAGGCACTGAACCAAAAGCAAAGAGAGAAACCCTAAATTGGCTTTGTATTAAAAAAATGGGGTCTCCAATGGCCTCTATAGTCGCAACCCTCCTTGTGGTAACTCTATCTTTTGCTTTTCCTTCTCAAACCTTAGGTGACTACTATAAGTACTCATCTCCTCTGCCTCCGAAGAAACCTTACCTCTACAAATCTCCTCTTCCGCCGAAAAAATCTTATGTATACAAATCTCCTCCTCCTCCTCCGCTGTCTAAAAAGCCATATGTCTACAAGTCTCCACCACCGCCAAAGAAATCTTACCTCTACAAGTTTCCTCCTCCCCCTCCTCTTCCAACCTATAAATCTCCGCAACCTCCACAGAAGTATTATGAATACGAATCTCCACTGTCACCACCAAAGAAACAATATGAATACAAATCTCTACCTCCACCACCGTCAAAAAAACGTTATGAATATAAATCTCCACCTCCACCCCCACCAAAGAAGCATTATGAATACAAATCACCACCTCCATCTCCACCACCACCAAAGAAGTATTATGGATATAAATCTCCTCCACCACCACCGGTCTACAAGTCACCGCCACCACCAAAAAAGCAATATGAATACAAGTCTTCTCCTCCTCCTAAAAAGTATTATCAATACAAGTCTCCGCCACCGCCACCTTATTACTAAGTAAAAGATCATGCATACATAAGTGGATGCCGGAGAAGTTCAGAGCTCTTGTCAGATATATCCACTTTGAGAATAAAACTGGGGGACCATATATGTTTCCCCTTTTGAAAGCTATCGACCGTGGCTGGAGACACTTTCCATATTTGGTATTTTCGTTTCGTGTTATATATGTTGTAATAATAAAAGATAGATATGTTTTTTAGGTTATACCAACTCAATACTTTTCATGCACTTATTATATGTGTTGGAGGTGTTTAATCTTCAGAAATCTATGGGTTTTAGTTCTTTGCTCTCACATTGCTATATAAATCTCGTTTGGTTAGGCTAACATTAAATCTAGTCTGACACGATGAATATTTTACCGCTTCTTTCTATTTTTGCCGGACAAGTGCATCATGTTCAGGTTCCCATGCCATTGTTGTTATTTAAAATATTTAACAATTTAGTTAATTTAATAAAATAAATTTTATTAAAAATTAATTATAAATATAATTAACTTACCACAAAACTTAACCATCAAGAATCTTTAATGGATTGTGGTACCATACTCCAATTAAGGTACAAACCCTTGAAGTTTTGCTTAGTAAATCTTGATAAATTTGTTGTTATATCAACATCAGCATCAATACCAAACCTACAAATTATAATATATTATATTATAATTATATTTTAAAATTTATAAATATAAATTATTATATTTAAAAATTTGAATGACCATTTAGTTCCAGGGCTTTTGTGCAGGTCAAGCTTCCGTAACAAAATCCTAGCAGGATTATTTATTACCTCAGCGATGTTGTCAACATTATCCTGGGTTGGTTGCGGTGACGGCGGATGCGATTCTGCCATATCGATCTACGAAGACCGTTGACGTTGAGATTCATCCCTCCACCCGTTTACTGACATTCTAGAATATCGACCGAATGAACGACTCATCTAACAATATTAAAATTATTAATATTTTATAAATTATAAATTTAATATTAAATATAAATTAAAATTTTAATAAAAAAAATTTACCTTTTCGTTGTTGCTTCTACTTCTTCATCCGTTTTTTTTTCCGCTTTTGTTGGTAATATTGACGTAATTGCGTCATCATATATATATGAAAAATAGTGAAGCAATTTCGTCACCAAACTGTTTGGTGCCGCAAATTCGTCATCCAAAGGAACGCTGAAGGTGACGAAATTTCGTCACCCATATTTTAGGTGATGCAATTTCGTCACCAAAAAGGACGCTGATACTACAAAAAACCCCCTAATATCAACAGATTTTTCCGTTGAAATCACCCAAACCCCTAATATTTTAGGTGTCGAAATTGCGTCACATTATCCTTTGACTTACCTTTCACATTCATGACGGTGTTGATCACGTTATCAAAAAATTCTTCTCAATATGCATAACATCCAAATTATGCCGAAGCTTCTGCGTCCTCCAATAAGGCAAATCCCAAAATATGCTTCTTTTGTACCAATTATGTGACTCTCCATATTCATATGGTTTGTGATGACCATTTCCACCACAATCAATGGTTTTATCCAAACCATGAATGCTCTCAATAAGTTCTCACAATATCTCTTCACCCGTCAAAAGAAGAGGCAGTGGATCTATCACAATTTTATTCTTCCTGAAATTTATTTTGTTTCGCCTCCATGGATAGTCTAGCGGTAGAAACCTGCGATGACAATCAAACCAGCATGATTTTTTTTCCATGTTTCAGCTGAAATTATTGTGTATCGTCCATGCAATAAGGACATGTCAATATCCCATGAGTGCTCCATTCCGATAACAAACCATAAACCGAAAAATCACTTATAGTCCACATCAGAACAACCTTCAACTTGAAATTCTCTTTCTATGAGACATCGTAGATATCAATTCTGATGCCATAATTCAGGTAATTCTTCGATCAAAGGCTAGAGAAAAATATCGAAACTTTTCTTCGGATGCTCTGAGCCCGGAATCAAGATCGTCAAGAATAAGAACTTCTTTTTCAAACACATATCGGGAGGTAAGTTATATGGAGACATAATAATAGGCCACATCGAATATTGTTTGCCCGATCGACCATATGGTATAAACCCATCCGTTCATAAACATAGATAAACATTTCTATGTTCTGCTGCAATGTTTGGATATACCTCATTAAAACTCTTCCATGCCTCATCGTCAGACGAATGACTCATATTCCCGGGATCTGATGTATGTTCACCATACCATCATATATGTGAAGATGTTTGGTGAGATTCATATAATCTTCGCAATCTATCTTTTATCGATAGATAAAACATCCTTTTGTAAGGAACACATTTGCGCTGACCGAATTTCTTGGGTTTATATCTTTCAGTTCCATAAAGTCGACAGTTGTCTAACTGGTTAGACTCTTTCCAAAAAAATCATACAGTTGTTAGGACATACATCATTTTTTATTGATCCCAATCCTAATTAACCCATCAGTTTAGACATATCATAATACAAATCTGGAGCGTTATTACCTTGAGGAAGATAATCATTCAGCATCTGACAAACTTCATCCATACAATTTTCTGTGAGATTGTAACTCGTCTGCATCCCCATCAATCTAGCAGAAACCAATAGTTGAGAAAGTCCTTCCTTACAACGTCATAAATAGGTTGATTCGCAGCGTCCAACAGATCGAAAAACTTTTTCGATACCTCTTTCACCGGATCTTCTCTAACCTGATTACTATATTGAGATGGAAATGCATCTTGAACCATCTCATCATATAATTTGGCTGATCATAAACATCAGTATTCCTCATTGAAATATTCTGATCAGAAATTTAGAACGTCTCTCTATGATAAACCCAAATGTAATAGTTAGAGACAAAACCTTTTTTCCATAGATATTTCATGACTACTTCTGGAACTTCTTCTCTCTCGTTTTTACATCTTCGGTACGTACAATATAACTTTTCTCTCTGAATGAAAATATACTAATTTGTTGTAAATTCTATAAAATTTATCAATCCTTCTTCGTAATGCGCATATAAATTACCACTAGAAGGATCAACTCTTTCGTACATCCATCTTTTTGAGTAATATATATTGTTATTACTCGAAGACATTTTGTTTTGTGTTTCTTTATTTATGCAAAGAGTTATAGGGTGGAATGGTCGGTATAAAGGAAATATGGTGATGCAATTTCGTCACTAATTTTGGTGACGAAATTGCGTCACCATTTAACAAATAATGATACAATTATGTCACTAATATTAGTGACGACTATTCGTCACTATTTGATGACGCAATGGCGATGCATGAGTGACGAAATTTTCGTGGGTTTTGGTGACACTAACATGCATTACTATTTCGTCACCAATTAATGAACGCAACGCGTTTCGTCACCTTATCGTCACTATATGGTGACACAATAGTGACGAAATTGTTGCATCACCAATTTCATCACTAAAACACCACCTTAGCATCACCATTTTGGTGACGCAAGATTTGCGTCACTCTTTGCGTCACATTTTCTGCGTTTTCTTGTAGTGAATTCCTCATTTCTTGCATATGATTCGGTTGGGGAGGATTTCCACATCTCCCCTCCTCTGGAATTGTACGTCCTCGTCCACGACCAGGTGTCATCCTACGTTCACATCATGGCAAACAAGATTAGAGTGACTATATTACCATAAAATGAGTCTCTAACACCAAACCAAGGATTTTATTTTGAATTCCATGGAAAGTGAGGGCCCTGATACCATCTGTAATGACCCAAAATCCATTATTTATAGCCGGATGAATCATTACTTAGGTTTTAAAAAGAAAGATTCGATTTTATTCTTAATCAAATAATATCATTTCAAAATCTGCAGTGGAAGTCTCAATAATAAAATTCTAACGTAAGTCTAAAAATACTTAACTCATCAGAAAATAAAAATCTAAAGCATCGTATCTCTTGCAACTACCAAGTTCTACCACTTGATCTGCTTCACCTTTCACCTGTGGAGAAAAAAAGGATGAGCTATGCAAATAACTCAGTGAAGTCGCAAGACTATAAACCCCACTTCCGTATCCAACATAGACAATCAAATAAAAAAAAATTCAATAAACATTCAACTCAAGCAAACTCATTTTTTATTTTCACTCCTCTCCTACTTTTATTCATTCCATTCTTTAAGACGAGTCCATACTCTATGACCATTCAATACCCCTCATACTTAGCTTAAAACTCTTTTTATAAAACAAAACCAAAAATATCGTTGTAACCCTCAATGAATCACCTCCGTAGTTGGGGTTACCAAAATACGACCAATAGCAATAATCCTCTACGGATCGCCATTGTAGTCGGGGTTACCACTCCACATGGATAACCGCATACCTGGGTCGTTATGCCATTACATACGGATTGTCGTCGTACCATGACCTCAAAACTCAACCAATAGTCATAACCCTCTACGGATCGTCGTCATAGTCGGGACTATGGCTCCACATGAATCGCTGTCATGCCAGGGTTGTTATCATACTATCACATAAAGATTACGTCGTACCATGGTCTCAAAATGCATTTAGAACAATCTTTATCACAGTCTGAGATTACATCGTAGTCCTTAATTCAATGCTTTACTTCTTTAATCTTTCCAAATATCATACCAAAATTTTATTAACATCAAGAATTCAATTCATTCTAACATTCCAATAAATCCATTAAGAAACATCATCACATAACATGTACGTCATAAGTCATATTCAATCAACAGAAATTTATCAATCATCAATCATCATACATCATTCATCAATCATCAGCTATCAATCATCAATCAACATCAATTCCCAAAACATATAAGGCATCTAACTTAAAGTCTTAACCACATGATATCGATGTTCCCATTCATCATGCCTAAGTGAATAGAAGAAAGAGGAGTTCTGTCAAGTTTCTTCACTTTGATAAAAAAAAACGGTAAATCTCAGAAGATTCGCTCTAATCATTGATCCTTAATCCAACAAATCCGAGATTTTTTTCACCATTGATTAATTAATAATTAATAATCCTTATAGAAAATTATCATCCCAAAAATCCCTAAATACTTTAATTTTTGTAGAAAAAAGTCGAGTTTGGAATCACGGTATTGAAAGAATCCAAATCGTTTCATTGAAAAATATTTTGGCGATGATACAGAGAAAATCAC